TTAGTGTACTTTCTTTTCCACCAGGATTCACAGGAATTTTTTCTTTTCCTTCCTTCCTTCCTTCCTTCCTTCCTTCCTTCCTTCCTTCCTTCCTTCCTTCCTTCCTTCCTTCCTTCCTTCCTTCCTTCCTTCCTTCCTTCCTTCCATTTTATTTTTTGAATCAAGGTCTCACTCTGTCACCCAGACTGGAGTGTAGTGGCACAATCATGGCTCACTGCAGTATCAATCTCCTGGGCTCAGGCGATCCTCCTGCCTCTGCCTCCTGAGTAGCTAGGACTACAGGCATGCGCCACCATGTCTGGCTGATTTTTTTTTAATTCTTTTGTAGAGATGAGGTCGGGCTATGTTGCCCAGACTGATCTGGAACTCCTGGGATCAAGTAATCCTCTCATCTCAGCCTCCCAAAGTGCTGGAATTACAGTTGTGAGCCACCATACCCAGCCTCCAGGGGCTAGAAGTGTTATTAGAAGTGGAAAGCAGGGTCATCACCAGCAGCCATTATCACTTGCAGAATTATCACTGCCACTGTGCTCCATGCTACAGCTCTGCTTATTACCCGGCCACAGTCCTGGAAACAAAATACTGCTATTTGCAGCTTAAAGAAGAAGCAAATGAGGACACAGCTCAGACACAGTCTCTCAAATAAAGGGTCCGAGGGGCTACTGGGGCCCAGGCCTACTTGATTGTCAACCATAGTTCTTTGTATGCTTCCTGGACTAATACAAGAACCGAGGGCAGAAATAAAGCCTGCAAGAGAAATGACCATGGATTCTTCAGGGATCCTGGGAGTTTTAGTGCAGATAAAAACCCTTGACAGCTTCCCCCTGAATGCTGCAGGTTCCAAGGAAAGCACAGGTCTCTTTCTTTGGAGGTAAAATACCCTAGGTTTCTAAAATTTTAGTTGGGCAGTTGAGATACAAACTCATTAATTTTATTTGGAAAAATCTGATGATCTAAGGATCCTGGAGTTTGGTTTAGATTTTTTCTTTTTCTTTCTTTCTTTCTTTTTTCTTTTCTTTTCTTTTTTTTCTTGGTTTGGTGTTTTATTTTCCTTCAACAGTGTAAATTGAGTGACTAATGTGTTATATGTTTTCACGGTCTGTGGGCTGAGGTTGACAGAGGGAACAAGATTGGTGCCTGTTCCTAAACAATAGAATAAAGGAAAATAGCCTGCAGGAGTTTGTTTTTTACCCAGCTGTTAAAAAAAAATCCCATTTTTTTAATCCAGTCCTCTTTTGATGGGCAGCATGGTTGTTTCCAGGTTCTTACAAAACCATAATAAAAAATACTGATTAATTATTTTAAAAAATAAATAAATAAAATAATAATACTAAAAAAAAAAAAAAAATCCCAGCTGATCGAATGAGAGAGATAAATAGTTCAAGAGATGACATCTTCCTTTATTCGTATAACATGGTAAATGTTTGTTGCAGACTGGAGTGAGGATTTCCAGGATTCCCATATAAATCAAGTTATGGAGAAGGGAGAAATATTTGCTTCTGTGCTCCTCTAGAAATAAAGATATTTCATGAACTAGACAGGAAGCTAATTTGTACATGTTTGACCTACATTTCAGAACTTCTGACAAAACCAGAAACTGAAGATGGAGAGGGACTGAAGCGATCCCCTTCCTGGTGATGAAGTGTTGGCCTCAGGGGTCACTGCAGGCATGCTGAGTTCTGGATTTCTAGAAAAGCAGTTTTGCAATCTTTCCATCTCAGGTCTTGCATTCAATGTCCAATATATACTACAGCTACCGTAACTATTAATAGACTTAAAACCAGGAACAGTGGTTCACACCTGTTCTTCCAGCACTTTGGGAGGCCAAAGTGGGAGAATTGCTTGAACCAGGAGTTAGAGACCAGTCCACAAAAAGAAAAAAAAAAAAAAAAAAATCAGCTGGGTGTGGTGGCATGCAACTATAGTCCCAGCTACTCTGGAGGCTGACGTGGAAGGATTGACTGAGACCAGGAGGTCAACTGCAGTGAGCCATGATTGGATCACTACACTCCAGCCTGGGTGACAGAGTGAGACCTCAAAAAAAAAAAAAATAGAAGAAATAGACAAGAGATTTGTGTGAGACAAACAAGTGAGACTTCAAACAAGGACAGGCTACTTATATAGTGACTACAACAACTATATTCACATGTACAGAACAAAGATATTGTTAATTATGGTTTCCCATCTCCATATTTACATAAATTGTAGGTAGCATAATTTTTGGATATCAAAGAGATATCAAAATAGATGTGCATGTATCTGCACACATACACACATTTAGGACTAGAAGCCACGTACAGGAATGCCTGAGAGATACTGGGGGTTCGGCTCCAGACCACTGCAATAAAGCAAGTCACATGACTTTTTAGTTTCCCAGGGTTATGTAGTCTATTAAGTGTGCAATAACATTATATCTAAAAAAATGTGCATAGATTTCACAGGAACTTAGCTGGATTTAGAGTCTATAATCCTCCGTGATTTATCACGAAAACAAAGAACTGAGTACCATATATTTCACTTGTAAGCGAACCCTGAACATTTACCATGATATTATAAGAAAGGAATTGGCAGTAGCTGGAAACTGCCAGGGCGGGGGGAGGCACATAACATGAATAAAGTGTACCTGCTCTCAAACCAGGCAAAGTGGGGACCAAAGGGAGGCCTAAACTTTACCTGTATGATGACCACTTGTATACCAAATCTTGAATTGTACCCCACATCTTTAAAATAAAATAAGTTTTTAAAAAATATAAAAATAAGCCGGAGCCGGGCTCGGTGGCTCAGCCTGTAATCCCGCGCCTTTGGGAGGCTGAGGTGAGTGGATTGCCTGAGCCCGCGGGTTCGAGACCCGCCTGGGCAGGCGAGACCTCATTTCTACAATAAATAAAAAAATTAGCCAGGCGTGGTAGCGCATGCCTGTAATTCTGGCTACTCGGAAGGCTGAGGTGGAAGGATCGCCGGAGCCCAGCAGGTCGAGGCTGCGGTGGCCGGGAGCGGCCACTGCACTCCACTCTGGGCTACAGAGTGAGACTTCAACTCAAAAAAAAAAAAACAAACAAACAAAAAAACGACAACAATGAAGTTTGTCGCATTGATGAACTCATCCTTGCACAAAAGTTTTCTCTGCAGCACATGATATTGTTTGATAGCATTTTACTCACATTAGAATTTCTTTCAGAATTGGTCGTAAATCCTCTCAACCCCTGCCCTGTTTTATCAACTAAGCTTATGCAATATTCTAAATTTTTTGTTGTCATTTCAGCAATGTTTATAGCATCTTCACCAAGGGTAGGTTTCATCTCAAGAAACTTCTTTGCTCATCCATAAGAAACAACTCTTTCTCTGTTCAGTTTTGATCACGAGAGAGCAGCAATTCAATCACAGCTTCGGGCTTCACTTCTAATTCCAGCTGTCTTGCTTTTTTTTTTTTTTTTTTTTT